TCTCCCCACCCACACACACACACACACACACACACACACACACACACACACAACTCCCTCTCACATATGAGGAAAAATCACATGACCCTTAATATTTGGAAAAAAATCACATGATCCTTGACTTTTGGAGTTTGACTTATTTTGCTTAACATCATCCCCTTCAGTTCCATCCAGCAAATGACATGATTTTGTTCTTTCTTACAGCTGAATAAAACTTCATTGTGTATATATACCACATTTTCTTTATCCATTCATCTGTTAATGGATAACTAGACTAGTTCCATAAATTGGCTATTATGAATTACACTTCTATAAACATGAATAAATATTTACAGTAAGCTGACTTTAAATTTTTGGACAAATACTGAAAGTGGTATAATGGAATCATGTGGAGGTTCATGAACAAACCTTCTTATTGTTTTCCATACTGACTGCACCTATTTATACTCTCACAAATAGTGTATAAAACTTTGTTTTCTCCTGCATCCTTGCCAGCATTTAATGTTATTTGTATTCTGGACGATTGCCATTTGATTGGAGTAAGGTGTAGTTTTGATTTGCATTTCCCTAATGAATAAAGATGTTTATGTAATTGTTGGATATTTGTATTTTTTTGATAAATGCTTATGTAGCCTATTTATCCACTAATTAGATTTTTTGGTGAGTTCTTTATATATTCTAGATATTAATCTTCTCTCAGAAGAGTAACTGACAAGATCTTCTCCCATTTGTTCTCTCTCATGCTGTTTTTTCCTTTGTAGTACAGAAGTTTTTATTTTGATACCATTCCATTTATTGATTCTCCATATTATTTCCTGGATTATAAGAGTCTTAATGAGGAAATGGCAACCTGCATCTGCATGTTCATGTGGTTTCTCTATGTTATCTGTGTAGTTGCTATGTTTCTGGTCTTATTCTTAGGTCTTTGGTCCATTTTAGTTGACTTTTGTGCAAGGTGACAAGTATTTAGTTTCATTCTTTTACAAATGTATTTTCAGTTTTCCCAACACCATTTGTTAGAGACTCTTTTCTCCCATGTATTTTTTTGGTAAATTTGTCAAATATCCAATGATTGTAGTTATATGGGTTTGTTTCTCTCTCCCATTCTGTTCAATTGGTCTATGTGTGTATTTTAATATTTTGGAGACTATGGCTTTGTAGTATAATTTGAAGTTGGTATTGTGATGCCTCCAACTTGTCTTTTTACTCAATATTGCTTTGACTATTCTCAGTCTTTTTTTCTTCCATATGAATTTTAGGATTGTTTTAACTAGTTCTAT